TCAGATCACAATGGCTGGTGTCCTGATTGTAAGATAAACAGTGGCTTATGAGGTCATAAAATAATAATTCTTTGGTACATAGGGATGATTTTCACTTTAAATAGCTTTTGAAACTACTTACTTTTTATCTTTTTTTCCTATCCGGTGTTAACTTTTTCACTTGCAAAAGCGTCGGATATATTCAACCATTCAACAAGTGTCCGTTGGCGCAAGCAGCCTTTATTTTACCCAATCACAAATTGCCACGCACCCACATTCCGCTATATTAGTCATTCTTGACAAAATGATGAATGAGAAAGCCGTCAAACCGAGTGATGAGCTTTAGTAAAAATAAAAGACTTGAAACATTGTTTTGGCGATTAAAGGTGACAGTAAATCGCAGCGTATTTTTTTAATCAAATATGAGGTGTGTATCATGCTTATGATTTTACAAACTAACTATTCAGAATTAAGCACTGATCTTCGACGCAACATTTTGGAGGAGAAACCCGAGAGTGTGGCTAACAAATGAGGTGTGAACTATGCATAGATATGTATCTCCAGGATATCACCGAATTTCCGATGAATGGCCATGACCAGTGTAAGAGTAAGGTTGTCTTGACAGTAGACCCCAATAGGTATGACAGCGGAGAGTGGCCGACACAATAGGAGAGTCCTGAGCAAATAATTGGCGGCTCAAAATATTTCCAAAAATAAAATCTGGTTTTGCTCTCGTTTTATTGTGCCTAACTTTAAACAGTACGATTGATCAAACTGTTTATTGGCCATGAGACGATAGGCCCCAAACCCGTAAAATCACAAATGCCTGTGAAGAGCTGAACTCACAACCTTCACAGTCTCAAGGTAAGATAGGAGTGCATATAGGGTACTTTATCGTTAATGACAATAAATCGATTTATTAGTATTCAACATCCAAGAATTTTCCGTAGCCTTTTTTTTCAAGAAATGGGGTGTGTGATAGACTTACCTCCACTTGGTGCACTCTCATATGACCCATATGACAAAAAAGTCTATTAACTGGCAGTTGACTTCTGACTTCAAACTGCTACGACCCCACTGTATGTCATATTCTACCACTTCACAGTACTCACCTCACCTTTTTTCTACCTTTGTGTCTGTCTCTTTTACATCTATGATACACTCTTCTGTACCCCCCCCCCATCTCGACTTTTTCACTTTGATGTTCCTTCCCATCTGTGAAGCCTGAAGTCAACTAAAGGGCTACTGATAACTATCAAAACGCCTGCCATTTGAAATAAATAAATAAATAGATTTTTTTCAAGAAATGAGAATTTATTATCAGCGAAACTTCAAATTATTAAAGTTTTAATCAAAATCTGAGGTCTCTAAATGGCCTCATTTTTCGTATGACGATTGAGATATACAATTTTTTTGATTCAGTGAAGACATTTCTAAACTATGCCTTACAGGCAGACAAAGAGAAAGTCTTTTTCAACACACTTGAAATTTGAAGAATTTTCGAGTAGTTTACAGCAGGAAATTTCAAATTCACTAAATGACTGTCTATAAAAAGTAACAATTACCCTGTAAATAGAAACCATGTCATTCGAAATAATAATCTCTTTATAACTACTAATAATTACATCAGTAGTTGATCAGCAAGCATATATATACAATTAACTTCCCACGTGCAATCGTAGGTCACTCATTCATGTAAGAAGAACAAGAGTTGAACATCAGGAATGCAGTATAAATTAAAAAAATAACCTTGATGTTTAAGAATGGGAATAAAATTATAATATCTAGCTGTATAACTTACCGGTTTTAATTGGTATTAGTTTGGCCTACTAGAGATGCGGATGATAGATAAAATGGGGGGGGGGGGGGGGGGGGGGGGGTGGAGGAGGGTGCAACATAGACGAGCACGTATCGTGGCTAGTCATCTTCTGAGGAAATTGCAGAAATTCCCATATAACCTACACCGTCGCCACTATCGCCATCGTGGAAGCCACAGAGGAAGATGATACTTTCGATAAGGTCATGGGGTGGTATGGAGCATGGCTAATTTAAGTGGTGGAGGATGAGGCGAAGGCAACTTTTTCCTCTTTAACTCACCCCTCCCCCACTACTTCCCATCCCGAATATTGGCTGTTTATATGACTCATGTTGTGGATTTGAGGCTGCCTGATTTGATGATAATAATTATGACGCGCTTGAGAAGAAACGGAAGTATGAAAATTACGCGGAAATACATGCGTATTTGTTCTATGTTTCTTCTGATACATTTGTTTTTCGTCTCTTGGCGTGCTTCCCGATAAATATTTCCCTCGTCAATTATTGATTTTCAATTATGCGCTTACTGAGCTTTTTCCTGTTTGACGCTTAATACTTATTTATTACATTGGATTTGCTTTTAATTAGTTCGAAATGACGATTAGTGGCTTCTGACCAGATTTCGAATACATTCATAACTGTTTTATTAGCAATTAAATCAAGCTCAACCCCCCCCCCCCTCCCCCCAATGACTGCCAGCATTCTGTTATCTTACGATTCTATGAAGGGAAGCACATTTACTACGATTTCTAGCTGAGGGACAAAGGCTCATAGAATTGTTAATGATTTTACAATAATTTAAATAGTTTCGGATAGTTCATTTGAAATATATAATGCTTCATCATAGATCAAAAAATTTTCATTTAGAGCTGGATAAGAGAAGCACTTGGCTCATCGGTTAATTCGGTTCAGTAAAAACAAAGTAACCTTTATTTAGAATGTTGCTGATGATCAAGTTTTACAAACTTTCTTCAAAATTAAATCGCGGTTTTTTGAATTTCCTGTATACACCGACTTCTTACTGTGTTGAAATGTTGTCGAACTTTGCCGAATATGAAACAGAAGTACACACTTCAGGAAAAAAATTGAGCAGGTGCATGAGCAGAAATTAAAGTGCATGAGATCAATTTCTCTCTCTCTCTCTGTCATGGTAAACGTGGTACAATTTTGCAGATGCGACAACGAAGTTGTATGCAAGAACTTTAATCAATAGTAAATGTTAAATGGTTAGCACAAAATAAATGGAATTTAAAAGCACTATTTCAAAGTCATTTTCAATCAAGAGGCTTGTTCGAAGAAAGCTCTCACTCATTATAATTAAGTATAATTATCAGACAAAAGGACAGAAGTTGAAAACCAGTACATAAGTACCCTTAGAGTGCAAGACGGGGAATATTCTCCAAACTAATTTCGTCAATACCACAAAAATACCCAGATTAGTTAAATAGTTAAACAAAATTGATTTTAATTATTGCAACTACGATTAATTGAATTATTAGCTCTGAAGTTCTTCATAATTGACGAGGAAGGTAACAATGTTATTTATGCTTAATCTTTTATTCTCACTAATTTATAAATTTATAAGTTTCTTTGTACAGTTTACATAAAGCTCAGTAATAAGATCTATTTCATTAACGAGAGTGTGATTTCAAATTGTGGGCTTTATGATACTTATCACTGGCCTTTTAGCTGACTTCGGGCTTCACAGAGAGGAGAAACATCAAAGTGAGAAAAATTCGAAAGGGAGAACATAAGAGAGATTCAAAGATGTAAAAGTGACAGACAGACAGACAGACACAAAGGCTGGGAAAAGGTAAGATGAGTGCTGTGAAAGTTTTCGAATATGACATGCAGTCTTGTAATGGTAGTTTGAAGTGAGAAGTCAACTGCCGATTAATAGGCCTTTTTGACGCATAGGTATATGTTGCCCAGGAAGTACCACGTGGAAGAAAGTCTATCGCACACCCCAGCATGACTTTTAAGTTTAACGAAAAGTAGGTGGGATAAGTGCCGGTTAACTTCGCAAGGACATTAGACTACCCAAATAAAACTCACACTCAACTAATAAGACATTTCTGATCACAATCATGAATTCCTTCCTTACAAATGTTCCATTTGTGAATAGTTATAACAACTATTTTAATCACATGGCAAATAAAAAATAAAAATCGTGAAAGTTTTTAGGTACTTATAATATAATAATAATAATTTCCAAACGAATTGGACATTTGCAAGTGTGCACTGAACATGATTTTATGTTATATAAACAGATTATATTTTTGTTACCTATTAGAAATTACGAATTCAAAAATTAACCTGGATATATAATATAATTTCAATTAATGCAAGTGATATCAAATAATATTTTTTACGTCATAAGTTACAACTCTTAACTAATGATTTACAATTTTCGAACCATTTGTCGCGAAATATCCCTTTATTTATTTATTTTCCATTAGTGAAAGTTCAATGTATTTAAAATGTGATTAACAAATTGACTATGATTGGTGAATCCGGTAGACGTGGCATGACTTCGAAATAAGATTCTATCTTTTTAAGAGGACATTTTGTTCTGTGGAGCTGGGGCTAGGCATTTCCAAGTCGAAAAAAATATCTGACATGTTCTTCGTCTTCTAAGAGTTAAGAACATTTCAACTAGTAATAAAATGGAAATTCTTGCTCTTCAATAATAAGGCGAAAATTTACAGAGTTAATTCTTTCGTCGTGTCTAGGCCAAAATTCAGTTCAAAGACCACATAGTAAAATTCTCGATTTCTGAGTGATATAATAATAATTATTATTATAATTACTTATAAAATATTCCATCCAATACTATTCTAAATGATCACAGTTCACAAATGAGGTAGAAATAATTTGGAAAATAAAAGGGGACCTTATGAATTTTGTCATAACGAATCTAAAATTGTATCCCACATTCAATTTAATGTAAAACCAAACTGATGGAGAATATCTTAACAAGCAAACCATGTAATTTTCAACGTAAAAATAAAATAAAATAAAATTAGGAATTAATTTTACATTTTGTTCTTTATATTTTGTTAATTTGTTAAATTTGCATAACCTCAACATTTGTTTTAAATTGCTAAATTAGTCGGTGTTATCAGACGAGGGTCAGGATATTTTTCAAATTATCTGCTCCCCCTTTCGTGGTTATTCGACCTCGAGAAATCAACACAGTTATATCTATGTTTAGTCAGGACCTTCTGTATATAGTCTTTCTGGGAACATCAATAATTGCCGGGTGTATTGTCAGAAGTTCACGAGGCGACGCTAAACGTTTCGCTTGTCTAATTCTTGGTCTCTCGTCTGCTATAATTATTTGTGGATTTGAAGTATGGCACGCTTTCATACTAGTTGGAGGATTTGTAATATTTAATTCTCTCGTTGCTTTCAGGTAACAATACTTAATTAATACGAGGTTAAGGTTTATTCATTTTGCCGTATTTTTATGGGGATTTTCATACCTGATCTTTTTCCACACTGCTCACTTTTATGGCTTTTCGAAACCATCTCCACTAACACAAATGCTTCATCTATTTTTAACGCTCAAAGTAAGTATTATTTCTTCCTAAATATCAAGACCATTTGCCAAATTAATTAACCATCTTTTAAGATTGTTGGTGTATCTTTCGAACTTCATGACACATGGGCTATCATCAATAAAATAAAGTCAAACAATGCCAACAATATTTCTGATAACTCATCAAATTTACGGCTCAAATACAAGGGCATAATGACAACGTCTTATGACGTTGTTTGTTATGCCTTTTGTTATATAGGAATGTTAACAGGTAATGTCTTTTAAACCTATAATACTTATTGATTGGTGGTATTGTAATGTCATGAGGTCTTATATTTAATTCAAGGGCCTTACTATACATACCGAACATTCGACGATATGCTTAGAGGTTGGCCAACGAAAGCACCAAGGTTATCCAGTGGCCCATTCTTAAGACGTCTTCAAGATGTTCCATTTTTCGCTTTTCTCTACCTCGTTGGCGCCTATTTCATTGATTTTGATGTAAGTAAATAGTATCACAACTGTTAACTTATGCTTATTTCTTTTAAATAAAAGAAATAATTCATCAGCTTAACCTTTCAGTCGAAATCGTGAAAATACATTTGTTTTGTCCTAAACTAAGCAAAATATATTGTTGCTTCAAAGCCCATTTTCGGCAAGTGTCTAACCAATTGATTGATATGGCATTAAAACCTTTTAAAGGAGCTTCTAAAGTGAATATGGTGTTTTTTATTTTAACCTTTTATACTAAAATTGCGAAATCAAGCTAGTTTAGTTCTGGAATGTCAAAATCATGTTATGTAAGTTTTAATTAGTGCGCTTGGCTTTAAGAGGCAATACATTTACCAGGGTGACGAAACCTACCGCAAAACTTGTTACGAATGCCTTTACAAGAGAATATTGACTCTGGGAATAGTAAATAAACCCATTTAGTCAGTAATAAGAGGATAATGAAATCAGAAGTATGTATTCGACCCTTTGCTTTAATTTCGTGTCTGGTCCAGCATCCTAATTTATGCCTAATTCTTCAGCCAAGAGAATAATTCAATAGTGCATAACTCTTAAATTTAATAAAATTTGGAAGAAGTTCAAAGCCTCAGGAGCGTGGGCACAAGTAGGGGGTCATATCCTCCATTGTGGACATTGAGATACGAGAACGTTTCACAGTAGACTGAACCCAATTAGAAAAACAATGGGGAAAGTTTGGTAAATTCATTAAACTTGATCTGAATTGGTTGAATTAATTCTCCACTGCTTGCCAGACCTTCGTCTCCGACTGTTCGACGTTGCATCATCGAAATTCAAATTATATATCTCGTGGTTAAAAATGGTAAATTTCGTATAACGGTCGACGGTAATAATCTCTAACAATTGCAAAAGTCTATAACGGTGTCGTATTTAGAGCTAAAAGCTTTGTTTCTTTATTTGGATAATAAATTGGCTCATTAACGCGTGCCTTGACCAAATCGTTTGTGTTTCACCTCAAGGTCGTTGTAAGGATGTTCCATTTTTCATCGAATCTCTCGAAATTATGACTCAAAATAAGAGACGGACTTACTTAAACTAGAGAAGCATATAATATATACCCATTCATTAAATTATATCACAGGGCCTTACTTGGTTGGAGGCTGAAATGCTCTGATTTCTAAACGTCATTGAAGCCACTTTTTCTGTCTCTAAGGAATCTTGCAGTGATTTGGAAGTCAGTCAAACAAAAATGCCATCATTAGGGAAATTACCAAATTTAAAAAGAATCAAATTTTAAATGCCGAGAAGCTTATCATTGCCTTGGTTGAATAGATAAATGCTTTCAATAATTTTTTTTGTTTATTAAATTTCTTCTAAAGGTCCTACCTGAAGGCAAGAAAACCATTTGGCATTACTCCTATTCAACTTTCAAAAAAGAAGAAAATATGCTTTTTATTATTTAATAAAATTATTTATTCAATAAATTTCATGACATAGCTCCTGGGTGCCTGGTTTGGTCCCTCCCCCCCTGGCTTGACTTAATCATTGTACATTCCCCCCCCCCCTCCCTCCCTTGAATCAGTTAGAGCTTTTCGACGCTTGAAGTTGGTTCAATAGACCAGGAAAGGTACTTGAAGCAACAGAGCTCACTCACCGATGTGATAAGAAGCAAATATTCTCAAATAATTAAGTTTTTTTTAGCTTAAATTGATTTAGAAAAACACGTTTGACATTATTCATATTGCGGCATTACCTCCATTCACCAGCCATTAGCTTTTGAAAATCGAATGCATTTTGATGGAGTTGTTGAGCCTTTGCGCTAGCAATATAAATTCTAGTCATGGATAAACTTGGCGTCGATTTTGTCTTACCTTGGCTCAACTTTGCTTTTAGAATTGACCTTGAGTTTAATTAAGAGCGATTCAATTCATATCAGATGTCATCTTTCCTTTCAACAGGTACTTCATGATCCTGCATTTCATGAAGAGAACCTTCTATACCGTCTGGCATACATTGCAGCCATCTTCTTTGTCTACCGAATGCGACTCTATTTCGCTTGGGTTATGGGCGAATGCGTTTGTATGAGCGTTGGGTTGGGAGCTTATCCAGCCATCTCACGACCTGTTGTGGGCGATGGACCAACAGATCTCGTGGCACTTGATAGGTAAGATTGTAACGCACAATGCTTCATCCAAATCGGTTTGAAAATCAATTGCATCATGTGTAGTGAACACGCGAGTATATATATATATATATATTGCCTAAAATATGTTGTAGAGGAATGAAGTTAAACATTTATTTATATCAAATGGCAGGCGTTTTGATAGTTATCATTAGCCCTTTATCTGACTTCGGGCTTCACAGAGAGGAGGAGGAGGAACATCAAAGTGACAAAAGTCGAGAGTGGGGTAGAATAATGATTCATAGATGTAAAAGAGACAGACAGACACAAAGGCAGGGAAAAGGTAAGATGAGTACTGTGATAGGGGTCGAATATGACATGCAGTGGGATGATAGTAGTTTGAAATCAGAAGTCAAATGCCGGTTGATAGACTTTTTTGCCGTATGAGTATACGTTGCCCAGGGTGCACCACGTGGAGGTAAGTCTATCGCACACCCCCAGTTCAATAATATATTACAATATTAATTACCAAGTAGTTAATTAATGTCAAGGTAAACGCACAGCTAATGATTATCTATCTGCATGCATATTACAAGCTAGAGAACACGTGATATACTGGCATCCCTACAGCTACAATTTATTCACTGAGAAAAGTCATGCTATTCACTTTTCTTTGCTACGTTCTCTATAATTAACTTCAAGATTTCCTTCATCCAACTTAGCTATTAACATGCGCAATTTGCTGGGGAGGGGGGAGGGGGGAGGGGGAAGGGGTTGGGGAGGAGTGGGAGGTTTGTTTATCTCTCAACGGTTGAAAGGTACATCAATATTAAATTGGAAACGTAGGTAATGGGGAACTCCTCCCCATGCAAATAGAATATAGCTTGCTACAAATAATAGATTAGCTTAACATTCATCTTCAACTTACATTAGCATATGCTGCTGAGTGGTAAAGTAAATTGAATCCAATAGTTTGCTATCAAAATTATGATATTGCTGCTTCGAAATTTGGTCATCAATGACCAAGCTGCTGCCTGGCTAAGTCTAATACCAGATACTTTTGCAATTGAATATGTCGTAAGAAGATAAAAAGGCCTTTCTAGCATTATTGAGCGGTAATTTTCGATGAAAATTTAGCCCAAGTGCTCACAATACCTAAGCTGGGTGAACAGAGAATGGATTGAAGTAGGCTTTATGAGAAAAGATCGTAGTCAAACTCCTCTTCTCTTGACGGCAACTCACTAGATGTACATTGATGGAAATGGATATTGCGATCTCAGATTCGGTACATGTGTTCCTTGAAAGGAGGTAGCAATGCCCTATACGCCCACCAGTTGGAGCGTTGGATTAACTTCGGTGAACATACGACGACCGATGCTTTCTACTGCCCAATCACATTTCATTTTAAGTAGATACCAAGTAATTTGCGTCACCACTGTTACTTCCAATGACATAAAACACTGCAATTGAATATTTGTTTGAAAGTACCTGAAGATCAAGGAATAGTAAATTTGTCTGCTTTGGGGGGGAGGGGGGGGGGTTGAAGATGGATAGGAAGTAAAAGAAATAATAATGCCAAAGTATCACAATGACCTTTTTCATGTAACATTTAGATCCAGGTCATACTATCATTACTTAACGCCAAGTTCACAACATTTAGTTCTTATAACCCAAAGTAAGACATAACGGATTTGGTCTTTAGAGGAGAGGTTGAGGTAATTTTCCGGGCTAATTGAATTGAGTGGCCCGTTATACAATCAGGTAGTGCTGCTTGCAGTCGATTAACACTATCTTGGCACAGAAAAGCAAGCTCTCTAGAAATAACATTAATCAAAGCTCTAATCTGGAGAAGCAAAAAATTGAACCTTGCTGGATGATTAAAGGCTTGGAGACTATCCAACACCTGGTGTTTATAAAGTCCCTGAAAAAGTATAGCCTAGTTCAAAATGTTTCATATTTACTAATACATTTCTTGATGCAATTTTCACGGATTGAAATTCGGTTCAATTAATTGAGCAAACTTAACGAAATGGGCCACGTTTTCCCTTCCCCTCAGAATTACTATGCCAAAGTTAGCTAAGAAGACCAAATAAATTAAAAAAGTTCTACTTGATTTGTAACCTGGGGCGATCTATGTGCTGGCGCGTAAATGTCAATTCGGTGGCGATAGATTTAATCAATCCCAGGCCAAAAGTCAGGTCGATTTAAACGACTGCAGAACTGAGTGTTTCCATGATCGCATTCATCCTAAACTTACATTTCCGTATTGCGTTCGCCTGAAAAAACAGTTTTATTTCAAGTAGGTACTTCTTTCAGAACCTTTAATAAGCGCTATTACGTTTGAAAAGCAAAACACTTTGATGACCGATCAAAATTCGAGATGCTTGAAGGGCTGGACTACTGCGAAGAATTTATGTTGTCTCCATTATGCCCTATCTGTCCTATAGTCACTTGTTCGGTTGATGAATCTTTGCACTAGTTAACAATAACTTACTCTCTCCACATCCTCAACGCTTGAACGCAAGAAATGAAACAATCTTTGAGAAATGGAGACCTGAGTATGATTGACAACTTCTCTCCCACTCTCCCTCTTTCCTTCTATCATCAAACCCGCCACCTTAATCACCCTGGCTACCAGAACAAAGCACACTATAATAGACTGATTTAGTCACGACATATTTTCTTTGACATCTTAGCGCCTACTTTGTATTTAATTACAGGAGTCGTTTTCAATCAAGTAATCGTTCGAAATGGATTGATAATGATGGGACACTTCACGAGAATACCTCTTAATGGCTATCTTTTAAAACGAACCAATGGTTTACGAGGAGGTTGGTACTAAAAGTGTACCAAGTAATGCAGCTTTCTGAAGAACTGCTACAAGCATTGGTTAACCATTAGTCTTAATAGTATTACGAGGGCTCAAGTTCAGAAATTCAAAATTGAATAAATAAAGAACCTACTTCATAATGTAAAAATTTGCAATGGAAATTTGTAACGAAATAAATATACACGGTTTTTGTTTCTATCCGCATGAAGCTACTTTGTTAATGTTTATTTAAATTTGTAATTTTCACATCATCAGTCCGTGCTTTTGCGAAAGTTAACTTTACTTGAGGTTAACTTTGAAAATCGATTGGAATTGGGTATATATATGATATTGATTTCTACGATAGAGGGTCATCTCTCATCCATGTCTCCACATTAACATACTCTTAAAACCAGTTTTAATTCGCATCAAATAAGGCCGAATCTTGCAGGTATCTAAATTGGCTGAGAAGAGGATAATTATTTCGATGACTGTACAGATCGACTCATAAAAGGTTCTGTGCATTATCTATTAGTAATCAATGCCCCCCCCCCCCACCCGTATGATGATTTGGTAGGGAGTAGTTCACCAAGGTTACTTTTTTTCCATTTCAGATAAGGATAGACATTTGCATTTAACGATTACCTTCAATAAACGCTCGGTTTTGTCTAATGATATTTTTATCGCAATTCAAAACGGTCTTATATCGATTTTTTTGCTTGTGAATAAGAAAAATGCTTGCTTAGAATATTTTGAAATATGCATGCAAATTAATAATTGTTTGCACTTATTCCATTTACGTTTTTCTGTGTTACGACGGTGCGAAGTTATAAAGCAGGGTACGATGGAGGGGAACGACAAACTATAAG